CTCCAGCTATCAGTAAGCAAGTTTCCAGACGCTGCATAAATTTTCCACATGAACTCACCCGTCAAATTTTGACCAATCAGAACATAAAAGTTGGACGTAGAGCGTGATCAGCGCGTGACAGTGAGAAAAGTCAAAAGCGATTGGCTAACCTGCATGTAAAAGCCGGTTGAATTTTCGCGTCCGAGGTCAGTTCGAAATCAAAATTTTAAAAATGCGGCTCATGAACACGACCTATTTCATATGCATTTAAAAAAAATTTAACTTGAGCATGCAATCATTTGAAAAGTAGCAACTTGTCAGCGGATACCTTCAAAAAAACACTCGAACTCAGTGGGTCGATACCTGAGCCCGCGATACGGTGAGGCGATACTGGTCAGCAGAAACACTATTTTGACAGCTGTCAATTAATCAAAACATGGATGTACAATATCAGGTTGCAGGCTCCCAAACTAGCTAGAAAGTGTGAGATTAAACATTGGTATGCCTGTGGTGCGGACGGACGGAAGGTCGGGTGGTCGGTGTACGGTCACGTGATTGCCAAATTTTCTGTGGTGGATAGATTTTCTAAGCTATGGGGTTTCGAATTGAGCCCGTGATCAAATAAAATATCAGCGCAAAACTTTAAACACCTACGGGCGTGAACTCAATGGATAGAAAAATGAGCCCGCAATACTCTCACGTGATGATGGTCAGCGTAAACTCTAGTTTGACAGCTGTCAATTAACCTTCATTAGAATGGCGAATATTCGAATTAACAGACTACGATTGTGAGTAAGACATATCCGTCCGGCTTGTAGTGGAAAATGCCAGATCGTGTACCTGAGCGAACCTGGGCCCACGTTATTAGTTTTCTGATAGTGGTCTGCACATGTCCTATTTTGACAGCTGTCAATTGACCTTAATTTGGCTTGCCAATGTAACTTTAAACGACTGTCAGCCAACTGACAGCCTTGCCCGGCGTAGTTTCGTTTTTATGTTGAATTAGTAAGTGTGACATATTATATCAGCTTATATGTAGGGGTAAAACGACTGGTCTTTCATCTGAGCCCGCGGGGTGGTCATGTGATAATTGTCAGCGGATGTCTGATTTTGACAGCTGTCAATCTAATCGTACTCATACGGATGGCTTACATAACTGAAAGGCTAGTCAAGTTGTGCAAGATCTATTGTGACATTTGACATCGGCTTAAATGAAGTGTGTGTACGGGTGGGCGGGCGTACGCTACGTCATAACCAAATTTTCTCGGATGGATAGTTTACCAAATTTTGTTACCCATGGTGCTCCGCTGCGCGCGCGCTTCGCGCGCGCTAGAGCTCCGCTATTAAGAAACCTTAAAAGACGATTGTACATTACTCTCTTTAGAGAATGCTGGTAAAACAGACACTGGTCGGTAGTTCGTAAATATATTCTGCTCACCAGATTTAAATAAAGGAATGACTCGACCAATTTTTAATTGTTTTGGTACAATGCCAGAGGTGATGGATAAGTTAATTATGCATGTAAGAGGTGAAATAATTATATCAATAGATTCTTTAATTAAGTTCATAGAAATGTTGTCATAACCTACAGCAGTACCTGAACGACAGGTACTACATATTTCAATAATTTCTTGCTCATTTACAGCATCTAGGAATATTGAATTGACTAGTTTTGGGGGTAAAAAAGAATTATGCGACTTTAATATAAAATCGATTTGAACAACGCGTTCATTGTTTAGTGCCGCCATGTTGCTTTTCGTCAAGTCCAAGTGCATCACTTTTATCGCCCAAAAAACAGGAAGAATTCATTGATTCGAGATCAAAAGTCTAACAAACACATCGCAAACGGATATAAAAAGCTACTTCGTACCTTTAAACGCGAAACTGTACAATTTTTAGTGGCAAAAAACCTTACCGAAAATCACTTACCGCTGGAAGCTCTTCCTGCGGTTTAAACGTGAACTGTAAACTGCAAACGTGACCGCAAGGCCGTTGTCATGTGACATTTTGCGGTTTGCGGTTTTTCATGAAAAACGTGATGCTAAAGGTCCTTAATAATTTATCAGCAGAAGGAAGGAGCAACGGGCGTAAAGGAGCTGGACCATCCTGGACTTGTACTTACATTGCTTTGGCCCATGTCCACATAAATCCGTGTACAAACGTTTTGGTTCGCGGCTTCCACTGTTCTTCCGTTTACCTGTTTGTTCACTCTGCAGATCGTTTCCGACAAAAACTCCTTTTGTGTTAATCGTCACATCATTCTCGTAAATACAAGGATCGTAAACGTATACGTTTTTTTGCGTTTAGAAACATAAGGGGACACTTGTGCTCTTGTACAGATGACATCAGAGTGTTATTTATAAGTCAAAGAGAAAAGTACCATAAAATAGTGAAGACGTAAATTTACCTTATTGCTGCTAATTTTCGCGTAATCTAAGAGCCTATTTGAAAGAAGGGAGGGTAGCCCATGCAAGAGTTACCCTTGCAAGCGGGTTAAAGCTGATAGCTTGGGTTGCAAGCGAATGAGTCTGAGTGTCTTCAGTTTAAGATCAAAGGTAAATGGAGACACTGTAAATAGATAGATTATGACGTGATGATAAGTTTCCCTTGTCACCACCAAGTGTTAAAACAAGATTGGGTGATAGACTTTTGAACTTGCAGTTCCGAAGCTGTGGAATTATCTGCCCTATGACATTAGGATTACAAGTGATCCTCTCATCGTGATGAATTTAAACAGCAAATGAAAACTGTATTTTTTAACCAAGCTTTTTTTTTATATGAATTCGGCTTAGAAAACTTTAAAGTTTTTTAATCGTTTTGAAATAACAGTGTGTGACCTTAGTTTTTTTCTATAATTTTTTCTTGGTATTGTAATATTAAATGTATCTATATGTAAATTTTATTGTGTTGTAGGTTATATTTCATAGTTTTAAGGCGCATCTGAAAACATTTTTGAAATTTGCACGGTGTAAATGAATATGTATCGAGCCGATTTTTAGAAAACGAACCAAGCGAAATTTGCAGCCATTTGAGTGAAAAAGAACCAAAAGACAGGTTTTTTGGGCCCGATAAGCTGCAAAATCACACAAAAAAATCACAGAAAAAAAACTCTATGATAGTGGCTTTTTTAGTATTTCTTCCTTTTAACGTGGTCCTTTTTTTTACCAACTTTGACTCGGTATGTTTCAGATTTGACTTAACCCTTTTGACTTTTAGGTTATTGAATTTTGTCATAGATATACCCTCATATTTATCTGACAAAGAGATAGTGGAAAGAAGTGGTCTTCTCAACTTAAACATATGTTTGATGATGGTGATGAAATAATGGCAGATAAAGGATTTCACATAAAAGGTCTTACTGTCAAAACTGGGGGTGAGGCTTAACTTGCCAATTTTTCTTGGATCCAGGGGTCAATTGAAGCTAATGAAACTGTTATTATCCAGAAAATAGCTTTCAACAGAATAAACATGGAACGTTTTATAGACAAGGGGAAAACGTTTTGACTTTTAGACAGAACAGTTCCACTGTCTCTGCATGGATCTATTAATCAGTTGTGGACAGTTCCAGCTCTGTTGACATTGTTTCACTATCCAATCGTATCTGCATGAATCACTAGTGACCTGAGCACCAAACTGTGGTGGAATTTAAGTGGAGGAGTCAGACTTATTGTTTAGACAAACAAGATTGATCAGACGTTCAAAAAGTGTACCATTTTATTTTTCTACAGTCAGTAACCAATATGTAATTATTGCTAACAATATCAATGTTTTTTAATGTAATTATAATAAGAAAAATATATGCGCGGTTAAAGTTATAACAGTGAAAGTTACAACTCATGAGATGGTGTCATTCTTAAAGTGTGTTTCAAGCTTAAGTTCTTTTAGTTGTTCTGCGCTGGCGTAGAACAAATTGCATGTAATTCCCTTGGATTCTGGCTTTGTTCTTTTCACCGTAGTGTTCATAACTGAAGATTTAGAGACATTCTGTTGCCGCCTTTGTGGTACTGTCCAACCACATTGTTTTGAAGTACGGGATAGAAGCTCAGGGATGCACTTTGAGTTTTCCACAGAAAATCTGGCAATGACCTTCATTAGTGCATAAACATGATTACACCAACCACCTTTGCCAGCTCTAAATGTACAGTAAGCATCTATAACAGCTGAAGATGACTCTTTTTTATAGCAATGCATAGTTTGCAATTTTCCTTTCTGTAGCTAGCACTACAAATGGCTCGAACATAAAAAAATGTACGTTCATTCAAACAGCTAATGTTGAACTGGAAATTCAGTATCATTTAACAGCTTTTTAGTTCTCTTATTCAACCAAGCGGTTTTTCCAGAGTCTTTAAAAAAATGCCTCTTTTTGTTTAGGGCCAATCATCGTGTACAAAGCTAATTGCGTGATCTGTTTGTTGGCGCCTAGTTTGATGCGCAGAGGGATGACAACTACTAGGATTTGGAGTAAATATGCCACCAGCGTGACGGTTTAATAAATGATAAACATTGAATATACAGAAACTGTAACTTGTTAGATCTCAAACATCAAAGGTGGGGGAAAAACCCGCCATAAGCCACAAACCTGTGGCCACCCCACCGGCCAACAAACAGATCACGCGAAAAGCGATTACTGGCAAATAAATGCAAAGGAACGTCGCAGCCCATGCTTGAACGACATGTACAAATAGGACTATCGTATAGAAAAGCAGCGGCCTGCAGCCCATGTCTGAACAGACCTATGCTTTGTAAAATCGTAACGTTAAACTTAGATCCAAGCGCGGATAGTTTAGCCACCCGTGAACAAGACAGTTAGTCCGCAGCCCATGTCTGAACAAACCTTTGCCTTGCAACGTGTGGCTTAATACGGTGTACAGTTAACACTAAGCGTTAAGCAAATGATTGATAGCCCTAATCTAGCAAGAATAGCAGCCCATGACTGAACTATTCTAGAGTATCTAGAAAGGATAAATTCGCGTGCCCATGAAATAGCAGCCCTTGTCTGAACTAGATCAGGGACGTCAAAATTAGCAGGTTAAATCGTTTTGGGCATTAGCCGACAAAGCACCTGAACGGAGGTACGATTTAAACGCATCAGATTGCCAGCGACCAAGTCTGCGAATTCGGGAATCAGAGAAACCTTGCTCGGAAGCGTGAGTTGCGGCTCCAATGCGGAAACTATGGCCTTTGTAACGGCTCGTGTCTAAACCACAAAAAACAAGGCAACGTTTTATTGCAGTATTGAACGAGCTGATGGTGACCGGGCGCAGATCACTTTCACAAAATAGAGGACCAGGAGCAGCGCCTCTCATGCCACAGTAATCAAGTAGTGTTTGGACTGGGCAAACTAACACAGAATTGTCTCTTGCGAGTAAGATTTCAAAGGCTTTATTCGCTGTGTTGTGTTTGAATTTGCGTATTGTCAACTTGGCCATACTTATGCGCCCGTTTGATGATATAAAACAAAGATCATCATATTGCAGAACATCCCCGCCCGAATCCACATTTCCGGCCGCTAGCTCTCCGATGCGAAAGAAACCATAAAAAGCCGTCGTAAACATTGCAGCATATCGCTTCCTTTGTGCCGTCGAGGAATGAGTCGAACTCAGCGAACTTATTAACTGGTGAAGTAACGGACGCGATATTGGCAGTCGGATATCGGAAACTCTATTTCGGCTAGTTGCCGTCAACAGCTTTTGTATCAAAAAGGATTTCGTTGGGTCACCAATACCCCTAAGACGGTGAACATAGCCGATGGCCGCGACATATGAGTGAATAGTAGCAACGGCAAAGTTTTTTGGAGCTAAGGTACGAAATGAATAAGGCTAAGGCGTCAATTGACACGGGGATTAGGTGGGTTTCGCAAGCACTGTAGAGTCTAGCATGAAACTGCCGATAACACGTCCACGCACGCTGATACGCTTTTTGAGATCCGGCTGTTAGACTAGAATTGAGAAGTTCGTTCAACTGAGCGACCAATTCCTGGGCTGAAGGTTCTCGGGAACTGGCGTTGGGAATTCGTCCATTCCAGGGGATATTGCCTTGAACCGCTCTATCTGAAAACGGGAGATTAAGTCGGCGCGCTCGTTAAGCTTCCCTGGAAGATGACGAGCCGTAAAGAAAATATTGAATTTAAGAGTAGTTAACACCATATCCCTGATGAGAATCATAACTATCTTATGTTTAGACGTCTGCTTATTGATTATGTCCACTAAGGCAGCGTTATCGGTCACGAACGTCACACACTTGTCCGCCAACTGATCCCCCCATATATGTAACGCAATTACGATAGGAAACAATTCTAATACCGTGATGTTCAGTGATTGCCAAGACTCGGGCCAACTACCATAAAACCAATGTGTTTTAAATAAAGCCCCGTATCCTTTAGAACCGGCTGCATCTGAAGTAATTTCATATCGTGAAGCGGACATTCTTTCATCCAGAAAAAATGTGCGACCATTGTATTGCTCCAAGAACGATAGCCAAACGATTAAATCACTTTTGGCGTCTTTGTTTAAACGGATTTTAAAATGGGGCCTTCGAATTCCTCTCGTAAGATCGATTAGCCTCCGTAAGAAGGCTCTACCCGGCAAAACCACTGAACATGTAAAGTTTAAGAGGCCAATTAATGACTGAAGTTCGCGTAGCGTGACTTTACGCCGCTTATAAAAATCCAAGAGCATCGTGCGACATTTCTCGAGTTTGTCCTCCGGCAAGCGAGCTTCCATGCGAATAGAATCTAGAGTAATCCCGACAAAAGGCAATTCGGTCTCGGGTCCTACGGTTTTCTCGGGCGCAATGGGAACGCCTAAGTAGTTACAAAGTGAAATGAACCGTGACAATAGATTTTCGCAAGACTGCTTACTTTTGGCTATTAACAAAAAGTCATCCAAAACGTGTATTATCTCGTCGGCCTGAAAGATTTGCTTGGCGGCCCACTCGAGTGCCGTACTAAATCGCTCAAAAATGGCGCACGATGACCTACAGCCCATCGGGAGGCAGCGATCGAAGTAATAATTCCCTTGCCACTTCATCCCCAGTAACGGATAGTCCCCCGGATGAATAGGAATAATTCTAAAGGCAGATTTGATATCAGTTTTAGCGAGATAACAGCCAACTCCTAAACGTTTTACAAACACTATTGCATCTTGAATGGACGCATAGCGTACCGAAGAAAAGTCTACCGGAATTCCCGAATTAACCGAATTCTCATGCGGATATGACAAATGTTGTATAAGTCGAAACTCATTGGGTGCTTTCTTAGGGACGATTCCTAATGGTGACACGACAAAATTATCGAACGGCGGGGCGCTAAATGGGCCTGCAACCCTACCGGCTTCGATTTCCTTGTGTAATTTATCCGTTACGATGTTTGGTTGATCGTTGGCACTAAGCAAATTTGGAGATTCGAAGCTTGATCTTAAATTAGAGTAATGAATATGAAACCCATATGAGAAGCCTTGTATCAAAAAGTTTTTTAATAAGGGGTCGTAATCACGCAGAACTGAAGTGAGACGGTCAATTCTTACGGGGGTGACTGGATTGCTCTCTAGTAGACGCGCTAGCCGCTGTTGTTCCACTAGGCTTAATGCTCGAGGTTGGTGGCTCCCCTCCCTCTGAACAATTTCTGGCTGCGTGCTTACCTCCACATCGGGAGCAGATGTGGGTAAAGGAACATCCGGAACAGAACCTCCCGTTATTAAAGTTAAAGCATGTTCCTTTAACGAGAGGGATTTGTCGTGATTTTCCGACTCGCCCGGCGGGAAAGTTACCTCTCTGGGGACGAAAAGGCAAGTTAACTGAAGTGGCTTCGAGCCATAACTCCCACTGGACTTCCTCCCAAGGGTACCTATCGGGGGCGGACTGGCGCAAATATCTAAATTGCTCATCATAGTAAGCCCAGTTTCCGTTTTTGTTTGCAATGGCACGAACGGTCTCACAATATTTTAGCAAAGCGGCCGTGTCCCCCGCGAACTTCTGGCAATAAATGGCCATAAACGTGTGGAACGCCGTGACCCACTGCTGAATACTATTCAATTTACGTGGGGCGCTAGCTGGCTCTAATGTAATCTGCGGCTTATTGCCATTGCCTGTAGCCGAAAGCCCAAGAGCAAAACGCTCTTGTGGAACCGCGGTTTGGAGCATTGCTCCAAGGTGTACAAATTCGTTAGCCCAAATTTTGGCTTTTATTTTGTCGCTAACTGCACTTCCAAGGGGGATGGCGACGCTTGAAAAAAGGGGTGTGGTTGGCATACTCTGCACGTTAGGTGATACAATATTACCTCCAGAAGTCCCGGCAATAGCTTGCGTCGCTTGCACAACAGAATCCTGGACTATCGAGGCTGTAGTAGGCACGTGGGCGGACACCACGGTCGACGTTGATGCTGCGTTAGTTGACGTTGTTACTGACGGTGGTGGTCGTAGCGCGTCCTGGACGGCCTTTTGGACAGCCAGAGAAAGGGCACTGGACAGCGCTGTAACATGTACTTGCATCGTGCCGTCTTGTTGATTAGAGGTACTAGTTGACAAGCTGCTCGACGTGCTAGCGGTACTGGTTGCCATGCTGTTTACTGTAGAGGCAGAAGGGCCAGAACGTCTCGGACGCTTACTTCGTGGAGGCATACTTGTAAAGAATAGAGAGTGTTAATTTATCCAAACGTATTAATGTTCTCGTGTAACTCGTAATCTGTAGTTGTATCGCAATAACTGCCACAGGTCAAATAAATGCGGTATTAAAATTAAGAATTGTCATTAGATCGTACGCTCGTATCCTCAAATACATACAAATAGCTTGGGACTCCGAGTGCTATGGCACGCAACACAGGCGGCCCACTCATTTGGAGACAAAGCATAAAATCGACCGTGACCGGCCAAACAAGGCTCAAGGACAAACAATACGTTGTGAGTACAATGGCGAATTACACTACCAAGTACCAACGCAAAAAGAATATTTAACTTGGCAGTATGTCCAATAAAGAGGAAATAATGAGCTATAGTACAGATCTAAGACTCTAACTTTGTACATCATTAAACACTTTAAGTGATTGGATCAAAGCCCCCCTCAAACTGCGATAAAGTTTAAACTGTCCACGTTGGTTCAGATGAACTCCATCGTGCAATAAGAATGACTGTGTTGTCCTCCAAAATCCCCTGTGTCTCCAGTAAAATGCAAATGGAAGGGGCTGTAGGACAACGCGTAAATAATCCGTCAACGTGCGAATGCGTACGTTTAAGTGCGCGTTCTCTCTTAGTATAGTTTGGCACACGCAAACCACGGTTACGCCGAATTGTTCATGTAATAGCTTTGTTAGGTCCTCTAACTGTGAACCGACAGTTAGAGCAGAACGGATTGAACGATCACTGATATCGTTCGTACCCAACTGTAGAATAACAATGTCAGGCGAAAATTGTCGGACTATCTCCAAATCGTAGCGTATGACTTTGGCCACAGTTCGTCCCCCTACTCCATGCCAGCGCAGGTTCATAGGGGTGGTGATGTCAAAATCCTCCCGTAAAGCGTTTGTAGGCAGACGTACCAACTCATGCAAACGCCTGATGAAGGAGTGCCCCAAAATCAAAACCCGAGGTTCAGCCATAACTACACATCGAGAGAGAAAACTACACGTAAGCGCTACGCATGCTACGAAGAAATAACAAGGTAGCGTACTTGCCTTAGCACAGTGCGTAGAAATTGAGTCAAAGACTGACGATGTTCCTGCGTTGCTATCTTAGCACGGTGCGTAGAAATTGAGTCAGACTGACGATGATCCTGCGTTGCTATCTGAACCAACAATGAATCACAATGCATTGATTGCATGATTTGAGCCTGCAAGGAATTCTAACTATTTCCCTATCTCCATCCCAGATGCAGATAAGACAAACAACCAGAAAATTAGCCCTTCACAAAAATGTCATTAAGCCATTAGCTTAATGGGTGTTTTCTCTTTAAGAGTGAACAAAGGTAATCCATCCAAACTTCTAGTCCAATGACTCATCGCGTATGAGGAGGAGGTTCAGTAATTTCCTGTAAACAAAATGAGTCCCGTTATACATTAAATACGTTGGAAGAATAACGAGGGCCTTCCAGGGGTTTTAGGGAAGAAGGGATATCTTAAAATAACTTTTAGGGAACAAGTGAACTTTTGAGTTGTAATGGGGAACAACGGAACATTGATTTCCTAAAAAGTTACAAGTAATAAGAAGTACTAAAGAATATCCAAAATATATAAAAAGCAAGCATACACTAAGTTAAAAGCCGTTTAAAACTTCAATAAAAGTTACAAGTAAAAATCGTCCAAGGCTTTCCTAAATAAAATTTTAGAATTAATATTTCTTAAACTTAATGGCAGTGAATCGAGGCACCCATAAAATAAAAACTACGGCGCCAAAATCAAAAAACAAAATCCAGTTTCACCTTGGGCAGTTTTGCTGCTTTCCCATTGTTTCTAGAGTTTGAGCATTATGGTCAAATCGTTGAAAATAATTTATAAATGGGAAACATGCAGTTCCATTCTTAGGAGGCAGTCAAATACAAAACAGCGCGCTTTCTTTTGCAAAACGTTGTCGATTATTAAAAATCGAAGTTCTTCTGACTGCATTTCGGGGAAATGATTTTGAGGCTTCGTTTCTCAATGGAGCGGATCATGCTTTTGCGGGACTCTGACCATCCAAGACTATTATAGCCGCAATACGTAAATATTGACATAATCATCGACTGGTAAATTTGTTGGGCACTACTATCAATGATGGAACAGATGCGCCGTAAGAGGTTCACTCTTCCTGCTGCCTTTTTTTAAATTTTCTGAAAATGTGTTTCAATATTAAATTGTAAGAGGAAAAAGGGCCTTTCCGACGACAAAATATTACAATTTCTCTCATTTTTCTGGCCTTGGGGACAAATCATATACTTTGTTCTTGGCATTAGAACTGGGGAAAATAAGCTAAAATATGGTTAAAAATAAGCGACGGGCATCACACGACTCCTGCACTTACTAGTCATATTGAAAGTTGTATGACCTTCAGAACCTCACTCTATAAGCTAACTAATAGGTCCTTAAAAGAGATTTTCCCTTGCGATAAGATATGAGGGTCGTCTTAAAGATTTGTCTTAGCCGTTGTTGGTTTTGTATAAGGTGCCATTTCCCCATTATTTTTCTCTTCAGGCTAGGTGAAGCCTGGTTGTATTGTGTTATAAAAGGCAGAAGTTTTTTAAGTGCGGATTTGTTTTTCTGTTGTAGGACTGTTTTCCTGTCGGCATATTTTGCCTCAGAGGGGTAGTTTCTTAAATTAGTGACAGGGTTGCCTCTTTCTAACAGGCGGAAATGTAAATGAAATATGACTGAGATTGTGGGGAACAGTGAGGAATATGTTTGGGGATCAAGGGAACATGGAGCACAATTTCTGGGAACATGGGAACTCAGTAAAAGTGAATTTCGGGGAACACCTTAATTTATTTTTGAGGAACAAGGGAACAACTGTAAATTTTTATAGGGAACAAAAGAACATGCAACCCCCCCTCCCCCCCGGGAGGCCCTCAATAATGATGAATTAAAGAACACCCACGCAGATCTGTTATGTAATTTTTCGGAGTAAATTAAGCCACACATTGAGCATTTAATCAATCAACAACAGCCTAACGGTTTGTCAGCAAGTCTACAACTTACCTCGTCTAAAATCCTCTCCACTGTTATGGCTGGAAACACCTTGATCAAAACTCTCTTGAGCATGCTGACTTTGTAGTTCCAGTTTCAGTGCCATCCGATCGCTTTTGTAAAAGTCTGTCGTGAGGGTTTAATACGACAAATGTTCTTCCATTCTTAAAGTATTCTTGGATTCTCAAGATAACTTGTGATTAAGAAAGCAAGGTAAGCTTAAGGAGGAGCTCCAAGCTTATTTATGTTTGATAACTGATTATTCAGATTATTTGACAAACTCACGAGACGTACTTTTGAATACACGCCGCTTTCGTTGGCAGTCTTTTAAGGTTCTCTCCCCTACATTTCAGCCAAAATTAAAGCACATCAATTCTATATGAAGCCAAGCTTGCAAGATTTAGGTTTATACCAGTAATTATAAGTCAGTACGTCCAGACCTTCCAGTTGTGTCAGCCATGACAGTACAGACTCGCTTTCGTGTAACCGGAAACCGGAAGTCGGAATTACGCAAAGCGTTTATTTCAAAGATGGCATACGAAGTTGGTTATCAGTGCAAAAATTATACCTTTAGCAATCCATTATTCAGTTAAGGGCTAAATGTAACAAGTCTTTATGAATTATGCCTGGGTTATGGTTGTCAGCCTAACTCAGTAATCGGCTCCTGCCTAACTACAAGGTAGGCCATACAGGATTTTACGTTGAACCTGAATAATCGGGGAGACTTCCGATTTTGAACCATCTCTCTCAGTCTCCAGATTAAAGTCTGAAATCTCCCAGATAATGGACCTTTCCCGCATTACGCTCCAGTGAGCAAACATAAAGAAATGAGGACGAGGCTCGGGTAGACAATTTCATACAAATCACTGTATTTTGTCCACCCGCGCCTCGAGTGGGTGCCTTTGTTTACAGGAATGCGGGAAAGGTCTGGTACCGAAGTTTGCTGTTTCTTGTAGATTTGAGTGTCTGTCAATGAAATCTCAAATATTTTGCGTTTTTTGAGCAATTTAACTTTTCACATTGAACGTTTCCTCAGAAACTCCGGTATGCCATTGTAATACTAGGGGTACCTTCCGGCAAGTGCCAACGAGGCGAATTCGTTTATCTTTTGTGGAATGTGCCTATTCAGATCTTCGCGATATTTTTTTTCATAATTTTAGAGGCTTAAAATGGATTCCGCTATAGAAAAGGGTGGCATCCAACTTCAAAACAACAATTTTGGCACATTCTAGGCTTTCACTTTTATTAAACAATAACAACAAGGCTTGAAGCTTTGTTGGTAAATATGAGCATGCGCAAGTTAGCACTTATGTTTCATGGAAAATTCCATTGTATCAAAGCTATAAACGTTAGAAAGAAAAATATAGTTCAAATGAGGCCTTTGACTGCTGAAATTAAAAATAATTAAATGCCGAGCAACAGCGTCATCAGGGATAAGAAAGTATTTCGCGTGGTAATATACGGAAGAAAAAATATGGTGTAAAGTAAACTGTGTGAAAAGCGCGCAAGAATGGGGCGGAATGTATCAGAGGTACAAAAAAATAAACTTGAATAAAATACAAAGATCTAATGAGCTAGTGTCACAGGACAAAGAGTGTCTTGAAAGGCGTAATGATAGTGTTCAAAACTTTTTCGAGCATTCACTGTTTGTTCTTTTACTTAATGTCGCTTACTTTGTGGACCAGACACAAACAATCAGTGTAGGTTTTTTAAGACCCTGTGACCCCATGCCTCTGGAATTTCTGCCATGCTTAGCATTGAGGCCTTTCTGTTTGGCAACTAGTTAGTGCATATTCAGGCTGTTCCTGGTTGTTCCATTGACAGTCCAGTTGTGACTCCAAGGAATGACAATGTTAAGTAAAAAAAACCTCATCGAATCTTTAGTGGTGAAATACCCTTACCACAGAGGCTATTGGAAATTCCAGAAGGATGGGATGGGTCAATTACATATTTTTTAAAGGTAAAGACCCTGTTTTCCTTAAAATCACTATCTTTTAAAATTTTGATGAAATCCGAATTCTTTGGCGTCTTCCCTTTGTGGAGTAATTATGAAATTACACTGAGAGTAGGATGAGATTAAAATTGGTATCCACTTTGTAGTGGCGAGATTGGGTGAGTTTGTGCGAGATAATTCGAGTTTAGGGGAGTTAAGGCGAGATAAGGAAATTTGAACATAATCTCAAGTTGCGAGTTAGGGCGAGTTAAGGCGAGTTAAGGTCCCAGAGTAGGCCTAAACACTTGACCTTTACGCTCCGCCATGACCCGCAAACGGGCAGGGTTACTAAGCGATTTGAATATTCAAGCATAGCGACAACTTCTGCGCCACATGCAATACAGCACTTGCTATGGGATGTACTACTTGTACTACTGCTTCTCGGTCAATCGGAAAGTGTGAGCGGACGATGAACGAACAATGTGACAGCTACGGAAGACGAAAAGGGACAATCCAAAAATATTTTGCAAATAAAAAAAAAATTATCAAATCACTGTCGAAAAGTTTGACAAATTTAAAAAACTATTACACATCCTAAGAAAATTAGTGGATTCACAAACAACTTTTTCAATAATCCGAAAATATTTTGCACATCCGCAATTTTTGTAAAAACTTTGCAAATTCTAACTTACTGGACCTGCAAATAACTTTTTAGAAAATTCTAACATAGTTTACAGTCCAAAAATCGTCGTGAAATCGAAAAAAAGAGCTTTGATTTTAGACAATTGTTTGCCGTGAAACAAGAAAAACGTTTCGCCATTACTCACTTCGAAAACAACTCAGAGTCGTCCACAGGTCTTTTCGGTTAACGTTCCAATAATTTGCAATTTTACTGCACTTTTGACGTCATCGGTTCAATTTGGCAAAATTCTTCCAGCTGGTTATGATAAATTATGTGCGTCATTTTAGCCCGATCCGAAACGAAGAAATATTTTGAATGAATAATAATGAA